CAGTTTGGGTTCAGGTGCTGCCATCAGTTGTCATTTCTCGTTAGCCCTTTAAATAAAAACCGTCCCATTGTGCCCCCCTCCCCCTCAACTCCCACCCCCCACCCGGCCCCGTAACTGGCTTTCCTAAGGAGCGCTGTTGCCCTCTCCTGCCCGTTCTTAACAGGATGTGGACTGCACTGCACTGCAGCCGATGCCCAGTAGCTTCCATTCCAGCAGGCATCTGCTCGGAAGACTCAACACGTTACAAAAACTCCCCACTCAAGTTACCCGGCGTCCCATTCGGAAGCTGGGCTCTTAGGCCGGCCGGCCGAGCCTCTTAGAAAGTTTCACACACTCGGCTTTCTCAGGTCGCCAGCAGGGAACATTCCAAAGCTCTCTCTACTTGGAAGAAGGTTTCCAGGGCCGTGGGGCTTCCATCCCCCATTCAATGGGAAAAAGAAAAGGAAACTGAAGGCATGTTCTTCTGGAATTCCCAGAGAGAGAGCGAGAGTTAGAGGGAGAAAACCAGAGAGGCAGACAGAGAGAAAGAGAAAGAATTAGAGACAAACAAAAAGGCAACGAGAGAAAGAGAGTTGGAGAAAGTTAAAGAGAGAGAGAGACAGACAGGCAGACACAACCAGCACACGACAACCACCACAAAACCCAGTGCCCTCTACCTGACAGCCTGATTTCCTGCAGCACAACTCGACTCGGATGTCCAGATTCGCAGCAACAACAACCACTAACACTCCAGCTCCCAAGGGTGGCTGGCAACCAAGCCCGTCTACAGAAAGAGGACGGATGTGACTTACAGTGGCGAGAACACGCTGGGAACAGAGGCAATCTGTTTGAGACCCAAAAAAGAGAAGAAAGAAAGAAAAGAGGGGAGGGGGGATTTTCTGCGGTACGGCCAAGCTCTGCACCGAATGAGGAATGGGAAGCCTACTAAGGGTTTATTCATAAAGCCCAGCGCGGGTGATGCCCCGCTCGCCCTGGGTTGGGGTAAGTGATGAAGGCCAAACTCGGACGGAGCCACACAGTCTCCTGCAAGCCGCTCGGAGGCCTGGAGCAGCTGTCACATGCCCCGAGGTGACCTTGTATTTGAAGTCGGCCCCAAACAGCAGCGTATGGACCTTTGCAGGGCTGGCTGGTGGGTTGTTCTAGAAGGGGAGGTATTCATCTCGAATGGCATCCTTCCACTCAGGATTCTGTCCTGTCCACCTTCTCCCCGACCACCCCCGCCCGCTCTCCCCTTCAGGGGTCTCAAGCAAGGCTGCCACGTGCATCTGCCTGAGGTCCAAACATGGTGCCAGCCTGCGCATGTCTTATGCAAGGTCACCCAGCTACTCCCCAGGGCGGGGAGGGGCCTGGGCTGGAGGCCTGGCAGGCCTGCCCCACACAACCCAGGGCTTTCCCCTGTGCACAAGCCCTTGGGCTCTATGGCCTCCGAACTGGGCTGCTGGCTCCTGTCCTTGGCCTCCGTCAGCTGCCCGAGGAGACCTGTCAACAGCACCATCCGAGCATATCTCGTCCCGGCTTGGAAGAACGCGGAGCTGCTTCCAGGCAGAGTACAAACCCCAGGCCCTACGTGACCCTCTCCCCACCTCCATGACCTCCTGTCCTTGTCCTTGGAGGGACATTCCTCCAAGTCACATGTCCCTGCTGCTCCTCTCGGGAGCCCAGAGCCTGCTCTGCCAGACACACTGCTCACCGCTCTCTGCTTCGGCACCTCCTCCCTCAGATGGCACACCGGCCCCGCCCCAAGGCAGCTTGCAGCACCCCTGCAGCGCCCTGATCTTCCCCCTGGGGCTACAGACTTCACCTCACTCCACCGGAGCGCAAGTCCACCAGGACAAGGGATAGGAGGCCTGGCTGCTAACCGAAAGGTCGGTGGTTCAAACCCACCAGGCACTTGGCAAGAAAAGATGTGCCAATCTTGTTCTTGTAAAAATGTCAGCCAAGGAAACCCTTGGGGGCAGTTCTGCATTGTCACATGGGTGCACATGTTGCTGTCGACTGGATGGCCCCAGCCAAAATTCAAAACCAAACTCACTGCCATCCATGGATGGCAATCGCAGCAACCGCGTATGACAAGGTAGAACTGCCTCTGGGTGCCCAGACGGATCCTCCTGAGAGTGGAAAGCCTCATCTTTCTCCCAAGGAGCTGCTGGTGGTTTCGAACTGCTGACCATGCAGATCACAGCCCAATGTGTAACCAATATACCACCAGAGCTCCTGCGTGGCACCAACAGCATCCCCAGGGCTACCATGTTGCCTGGCACCGAACAAGAACTTAACACAGGATATTTGATATTAGATGAAAATTTTTTTCTCTCCCTTTGCAACTCTTGTCGTTTTGGGGTGCTGACTCATAGTGACCCTAAGAACAACAGAAGGAACCCCTAGTTCCAGTTGTCCTGTATCTTCATCCACATCTGGCCAGTCTTAATTTTAATGGTTCTCTTGGACGTGTAGTGATGTCTATTAATGACGGAAACAGCTACTGCTAGCAATTTGCATTTCCTGAATGGCTAATGAGAATGTAGCCCTGGAGATGTACACATTGGGCTGCCAGCCGCGAGGCCACCAGTGTGAGACCACCTGCTGCTCCGTGGCGATGAAGCTTTCTCCTGGCGTAAAGAGCTACAGTTTTGGAAGCCCACAGGGACAGTTCTCCCGTCTTGTAGGGTCGCTGTGAGACAGAATGGGTCCAATGGCAGTACGTTTTTTTGTTTGTTGTTTTAATGACTAACGGTTGTTTCTAGTCGTGTGGTTGAGTGCTCTGTTGGCTACGAATGGAGAGGTGGTTGGTTCAAATCCACTCACCCACTGCCATCAGATCCTTTCTCACTGCCGCCCTCGCTAGGGTTTCCAAGGTGGCAAAGCTTTATGCAGCAGAGTGGCCAGTGGATCCGAACTGCTAACTTGGGTAGTTGGCCAACGCTTACCCAAAGGCACAACCTAGGGCTCTGTAGAGTCCGCCCAGAGGACACTCAAAGGAAAAATCTGGTGCCACGGTTCTAAGGAGCCAGCCCTTCCACACATGGTGGGCCACCAGGAGGAGAGATCAACTTGAAGACCGCTGGCTGGGTGTTTTGTTTGTTTGTTTAACAACTAACAATGCTGCCCATTTTCCCAATTACCTACTTACGTCTTAATACCCTTTGTTGAAGAGTTTAAATCTTTGACCCTTTCAAAAATGGGGTTCTTTCTCTTATTGTATGTGTTCCGTATATATTCCAGATCCAAGCCTTCTGTCATGTACTCCCTTTGCAAATACTCTCTCCCATTCTATGGCCTGCATTTGCATTTGCTTAAACACTTTTGGTGAGCCTGGTAGTTGGGCAGGAGCCCTGGTGGCATAGTGGTTACGCCTTGGGCTGTGATCCATGTGGTCAGCAGTTCGAAACCACCAGCAGCTCCTCAGGAGAAACACCAATCTTTCCACTCCCGTCAACAGTGACAGTCGGCAACCCACAGGGTCACTAAGAGTCAGCACCGACTCGATGGCCAGGATTTCGGTTTGGGTTTGGTAGTTGGATGTTTTTGTCCACTAGACACTTAGGGATGGGGGTGGAGCCAAATCTGTCCATCAAGTGATAGCTTGATGACACCTCCTTGGGGGCGTGGCCTTCTTATACCTGGAGGATCCGGGAACCTTCCTTTCTCTCTGCCTCTCTGCCTTCCTGCCTGCTGGGACTGCCTATCGCCACAGTCCCACGGGGGTCACCTGACCCTGAGAGCTTTGGGGGCCCTGCCACGTCTTCACCGACCTCAGATCCACATGACTCTGCACCCACCAGCCTGTGACCTTTCTGGTTCCTGGTTCATCTTTCTGCGTTACCAAGAGGGACTGATGGACTAGCAGGGACTTAAGGACATGAGTTGGACTGGGCCGGAATGCCTTCTTGCTATAGAAATCCTTTTTGATATAAAGCTCTTTCTTATATACAGCAAGTGTCACAGGATTTGTTTCTCTAGACCACCCAGCCTAACATCATAGCAAAAGTGTTTAATGTTAAGTTCAGTTTACTTTTACAGTCCATGCCTTTAAAAGCATATTTTAGAAAGCTTGGCCACACCGGAATCACTGACGTTTCTAATATGCTTTCTTCTGGAGGTTTTAACTTGTACAATTAGGTCTATGATCCATGTCGAGTTCCACTGGTTTGCTTTGCTTGCTTTGGCACAAAGTAAGGGTCAAGGTTCTTTCTTCCTACATGGCCATCCAACTGTTCCAGCACTATTTGCTACGAAGGTCTCCCCCACCTTCCACTGAATTGGCTTGTCACTTGATAGAAAATCAATTCACCACTCATACACAAACAAACAAGCCCAGTGTCATCAAATTGAAGCCCACTCACAGCGACCCTACAGGACAGGGAATAGGTTTTCCCAGACGGTCTCTCGACTGGAGGGGGAGTTCAGAACTGCTGAGCCTGCAGTTCGCAGTCCAGTGCTTAACTACTACTCCACCAGGGCTCCGTTACAGATGTACAACGGGATTGCAAACGTGCGTGGAACAATGGGATGCAAAGATAAAGGTTTATTTTTTGTTTTGTTTTTTTGAAGTCCTCCTAAGTGTAGGGGCTTCCTGTTGTGTTCCACTGATGGATTTGTCTGTTTCCATATCAATACTTTATAGGTCCACCAGCTCTGTTCTTATCGCTCAGACTTGTTTTACATATTGTCGGCTCTTGGCATTTCCATAGAAACTTTAGAATCAGCGTGTCAACTTCTACAAATGGCCTCTGGGATTTGGTTTTCATAGCTTTGAGACTCTAGAGCAGCAGGGAAAGAATGGGCATCTTAATGATACTGAGTCTTCTGTTCCAAAAACATAGAGTTAAACGCCCCCACGCCCCCCCCCCCCATATTATGGTCTTCTTGCATTTTTCTCAGCAAAACATTAAGTTGCCAAGTATTTTCAGTGCACAGGTCTTGAATATTTTACCCCTAAGCCTTGCATGGTTCTTGATTGCTTTTTAAATGTTAAAGTAACTTTGTGTTTCTGGGTTAAGTCTGCAGCTTTCAGCACACGGAGATGTCTTTTCATTGTCTTCTGCCTCGCGTGGCACCTACGATGATCCTCTGAAGGTGATGTGCTTTTTCCTTTTCTTCCCTGTCGTCCTTCTCACGTCTCTGGATACTACTTTCCCCCCTCCTCTCTCTCTCGTTTTCTTTCAGAAGTTTTAGTATAACGCGTCCAAATTCAGATTAAAAAAATAAAACCCTGCCTGTAGTTCTCTAACCTTGTTGAATTCGTGGCTTGATATCTTTAATCAGACTTAGAAAAACTTCAGCCACCATCTCTTCAAATATGGCTTTTGTCTTCTCCTAGGAAGCCAACTACCCAAAGAACACACACCTCTGTCTTGGGAGACGTACAGCCAGGAGCCCCTCAGAAGGGAGGAGGAGGAGACCCCGTCTCACACGTTGGGCAGGTTCTCCGGAGAGACCAGTCCCGGGAAAAGGACAGCGTACTTGGGGAAGTAGAAGGACCATGAAGAACAGAAGGGTTCTTATGGGCTGACACAGCGGCTGGACCCTGGGGTCCACCGTGAGGGCAGCTGTGAGGGTGGCGGGTCGCAGGGTCACTGTGAGTCGCAACCTCTTCGACGGCACCTAACCCACAGGGACACCGCGGGAGCCCAACGATGTATGAGTGGATTTTCCCACTATTCCCTTCTCCGCCTGGTATCACCACCCTTTTGTCTCTCTGGGCTTCATTCTGGGGACCCTTTTCTGACCTATTTTACAATTCACCAGTACACCTATCCAAAGAAGTACGTAATTTCAGCTTTTGTATTTCTCCGTGTTGTACTTTCCATATGGCTCTTCTCCAAAGCAACGGCCCCTTTAAGAAAATGGAATTCGCGGTGTGCCCGTGGAAATCCCCCATCTGACCCAATGACTGCAGTGGGCAGTGACGTAAGGTGGGTGTGCTGTGAGTCCAATGGTCCGAGCCACCGGGGTCTGTTTCTATGATGCGTCCGTCTGCTGGCTCGTGACTGCTCCCTCCTCACGTGCCTGCCTGGCTGCTTGTGTGGTGACACTGAACAGATGTTTCATTCTGCACGGCAGTGGAAGACAATGAAAGGCTCGGACCAGTGGGAACTGCTCAAAGCAATCCGAACTGTCAATGGGAAAAGGTCAGCGATTTCATAGCACTTTTGTCTGAAGGCTAAGACGCTCTTCATTAATGGTCATGCATGCACGGGAGAGTACACTGGGGCCCCGGGCTGGCCCCACATGACTAAGCACTTGGCCACCAACCACTAGGTTGGTGTTTCGAATCCACCCAGAGACACCTCAAAAAGGCCTGGGGAACGACTTGCGAGAAGCCCTCGCCTGTGACAAGCCCAGGGAGCGGGGTTCTACTTTGAAACACGGGCCCATTACCATGAGCTGGCACCGACTCAACACAACTGGTTTGCTTGGAAGCCAGTTGGGAACGCCGAGAATTGATGCAACCTATTCCTTTGTTACAAACAAACAAACAAACAAACAAACAAACAAACAAGCAAACAAGCAAACAACCTCGGCATGCGTAACCCGGACCACATTTGTCAGGTCTTCTTGCGACATAACTTACAGGACAGAGAAAACCTATCTTCTCGACCTTCGTTAACCAATTGTCACACTCCTCCCGAAGTTCGGGCCGGCTCCCCCTTTGGGCTCTCCCTGCTAAGGGGGTTCCTTCATGGGCAGTCATGGGTTGGCACCACTCCTGCTGGGCTCTTTCCGTCTTTTCATCAGCATGGCTCTCCGGGTCCATGCCGATCAATGCCGGGTCTGAGTCTGCCTGGCCACAGTCCCTCCAAAGGTAGCAGTGTCCCCGTGCCTGTGGTCAGCGATTTCTCTGACAGCTCCATGTACCTTGGATTCAGGAGACCTGGTGCTGCTCCACTGGAGTAAAGACCTGATGACCTGGGTCTGTACAGGGTACCCGTTGCCATGGGAACCCTGCCGGCCAGAGCTGAACTGTCCCTGAGGGTTCCCACGGCTGTAAGTCTTCACAGGAGCAGACAGCCTCATCGTTCCCAGACCAAATGCTAATCCCACGGTGGTACCAAGACTCAATGTGTAAAGAGGTCCAAACACTTCCAACTGGCGGCCTTCGAGTCAATGCTGACTCACAGCGACCCCTGTGGGTTTCGCAGACTGTAACTGTTGACAGGGGCGGGAAGACCAGTCTTTCTCCCTCGGAGCTGCTAGTGGGTTCGAACTGCTGACCATGAGGATTGCAGGCCTATGCACATCCCCCCGGAGACCACAAGGGTCCTTCGTAAAGAGGTACAGCCTTGCACACCCACAGGGACCGTTCTCCTCCATCCTGTAGGGGGCGGTGTGTGTCAGGATCGACTCCGTGGCCGAGGTATTAACACTGCACTTCTTTGCTGCTTGCTCACCTTGGCTGGCCAATTCCCTTCCGATTTTCCATTTTGCACAGCGTTAGGTTACCACTGGGAGTCCAGGAAGCAGCACAGCGTTATCCTTTGCTAAATATTTACACGCCATGAGCCAGAGGAGGCCTGGCGGCCCTGGAGGGTAAGCACTGGACTGCTGACTACAAGGTTGGCGGTTCAAGCCCATCAGCCACTCCATGGGAGAATGATGAGGCTGTCTGCTTTCTATAGGATTGATTGTCTTGGAGACCCTATAGAGCATAGATAGGCTTCCAAACTTATTTGGCCTACCACCCTCTTTTCAGGAAACAATTATTCAGCTCCCTCCCAGCAATGCAAAACCTTTAAACTTTAAAACACAAACCAAACTCCAGGCCATGGGTCAATTCTAACGCACAGTGCCCCAAAGGACAGGGTAGAACTGCCCCTGTGGGTCTCTGAGACGGTCACTCTTGACGGGCATCGGAAGCCTCATCTTCCTCCCTCGAAGTGGCTGGTGGGTTTGAATTGCTGACTTTTCGGTTAACAGTCCCACTTGTAACCGTGACCCAAGATAAAGTGCAGGTCTCTACTTTTGCAGCCCCTGCCCCCCACTGCCACCTCCCCACCTCCCCCTGCCAGGATGGTTCCAGTGCCCCAGGGGCAGCACCGCGCACTGGGAAACAAGGTTATAAGGGGTCACTGAGAACAGACCCGGCAGTGGGCGTTCTCTGGTTCTGGAGTCAGAGTGGACTCCCGGCGGTAGGTCTGGTTGGTTGGGGGCCGTGGTGGCTGAGAGGTCCCTGCCTGCCACAGAAGGCTTGTTCTGAGATATAATCAAAAGATGACTGGTTTGAGCCCACCCAGTGTCGCCACAGCAGGTCTGGTGACCTCCTTCTGTAAAGAGGACAGCCCAGAAGGCTGAGGTGCAGCTCTGCTCTGGGACAGACACCTGGGGTCCCCGGAGCCCCTGTGGACTCAACAGCAGTACGTTTTATCCTTTGGTCTTAAGGTCTCCCCATAACCGGCCAATATAGCTAAAGCAATACCTTGCTGATTAAAATGGGAAGAAGGTTTTAGGACAGAACTGGAATTGTCTTTTCAAGAACACCAGTGTAGGCTGATGTGGCGAGGAGGGGCTCCTTCATTCAACAGGCTCTTCCTATGTAAGGCCAGGGTGAGACCCTAGTGGGGTAAAGTGAGGAGTTCACGGTTCGAATCCACTACAGGCACCCTGGAAGAGGTCTGGCCATCTGCTTCCCCGAAAGACAGCCATCAAAACCCCTGTGAGATCAGAGTTCTCTACACATAGGGGTGCCCTGAGTCCAAGCCAACTGGATGAACCCCCGAACCACAAACTCACCGCCACGGGGTCGGTTATGACTCACGGTGACCCTATAAAACAGGGTGGACTTGCCCCTCTGTGTTTCCGAGACGGTCACTCTTTACAGGAGTAGAAAGCTCACCTTTCCCTCTTGGAGGGGAGCAGGTGGTTTCAAACTGCTGACCTTATGGTCAGCAACCCAACGCCTACCCGCTGCACAGCCAGGGCTCCCTGAGCGTGCCGGATGGCACCTGGTAAACCAGGCAGGTCACTCTCCAGCAACAAGGATCCGGAGTGAGCAGGAGTCAAACACTCATGCCCGCAGGGAGGGGCCTCACCCAGGACTGGAGGGAGGCCACCGACCAGCCAAGAGCACGCAGAACAGAGTGGGCCGCCACAGGGTTTGGGGAAGGTACCCTGGAGACATGGAGGCGAATTAAGCCCTCCATCGGCTGCTAACTGGCAGGTTGGCGGTTCAAACTCACCAGCTGCTCAGAGGGGAAAAGATGAGGCTGCCCGATTCCCGAAAGACTTACAGCCTGGGTGGGGTTTCTTCAGCTCTGGCTCACATGGGGCCCAGTAATCGAAAACGGGGGGTAGAGAAAAACGGCCATCGTGGAGGGTCTCTTTGTGATCAATGACCAGAAACAATGAACCGCACACAGATCAGAAGCCCGGCCGTTCCTGGCAGGCCTGCCCCGCTGCACAGAGAGTTGGCTGTGGTCTTGGTTCTGACACAGAACAGGGGCTTGGACACCACACAGCTCCCAATGCTAAGTTCTGCATTGAACTCACCCATCTTCACGTCCACCTGTGGCTCTCGTGTAACCTCTGACATGCCATCAGCAGGGCTTCTAAACTCTTTCCACTTCCACCCCTTTCACCCCAGAAATTCTCACGCACCCCGGGTATGCAGGTACATAAACAAACAAACAAACAAACAAACAACCTCGCTGCCATCGAGCCAACGCTGACTCACAGAGCCCCCTGTGGGTTTTCCAAGACTGGCACTGTTTACGGGAGTGGAAACCCCGGTATTTCTCCCCTGGAGCTGCTGGTGGTTTCGAACTGCTGACCATGTGGATTGCAGCCCAACACATAAT